TGTTCTCCCTTTATCATTTCAATCATTTACTCAATTACTTGGCTATGATGAAGCTTCCACAACAAACTGATTTGTCATGGGTTGGTGTTCTGTTAAGTTATGGCTAGGTAACTATAGTTGCCGTCATTTACTTGATATAACATGCCCCCATACAAAATATGATATGAAAATTAGCTATCTCAGCCAATATTTACCTTAGACAGTGTGATGATTACAGATTTACAGGTTTTTAACAATATAATTTGTTTAGAGGCTTGATATGCACTTTAGTACTTAATGACATTATTGTATTTTTTTATAGGTTCAAGTTTGAAGGCAGTATAAACAGTTGAATGGGCGCTTACGGATTGTTTTTGTCGATTTATGTTATGATTATTTTGTTATGTGTTAAACACTATTAAACATTATTTGGTTAGTCAGTTTATGAACTAGTAAGTTCATTAACTGTCTTTCTTTATGAACTGGGGTATGCCCCTTTTATTGTGTAATTTTTGTCACTTTTGTTAAACACTTAACACTCAAACTCCTACTTTGTCAATTGGGATATATCTATATCATATATGCCCCTTATGGCCGTAATCGCCGTATGTAGTTACTTACTTATGTAAGTTGTATATTGTGTTGTTTTTCTTGATTGTGTTATGCATTTTCAACTGGTTTTGTTAAAAGAACTAAATTGTTGGGAAATTAGTTCAAAAGTTTGGATATCCGAAATACCCGAAACCCGACCCATACCCGAGGGAATCCGAAACTTAAAATATCCGAAATATTTTTACCATTTTCTTTAAGGGTTGGGTTAAAGAATATAACCCCAATACCCAAACGGGTTTACCATTTCGCAACCTGACCCGCCCGAACCCGACCCGTGCTCTCCCCTAATTCTGCTGCCTGGTGCTTGTTCCTGACCCTAGTTGGTCGGGGTCGGTTCCAATTGTGGACTTAGTCTTTATATGCACTCCGGTGTGGATCCTGATGCTCTATTGTTGGGAATATTTTATGGTGTTCAATCTAGTTAGTTATCTTTTTATTTGTGTAGTTATCAATTAAACGTGTAATACGGGCCACAAATGTGTATCAGCCTGGGGGCTTCCTTGTAACCCGTAAGTTAGCCAACTTCTCCTATAAAAGGAGGCTAACTTACGGGAACCCTAACGATTGATAGAGGCTGAGAGCGCAAGAGGCGAGATAGAGAGAGATTAGGGTTGCCGCTGCTCTCCTTCTCCAGGGAGAGCAGCGGACAGTTCACGGTATACCAGATTTGGTTTTAATCTTGTCGATTTCTTCCTATCTGCTTCTTATTCTTCTTGCTATGGTTGTTGTTTGATAAATTATGGGACTATCATTTGGTATCAGAGCCGAGGCGTGAAACAGGTTGAATGTATCTGCGATTTTCTTGGATCTAACGAAGAATGCTCTGCTTTTCTTCCGTTTCTCTTCATATAGAGTTTTGCTCCTGTAATCTTGTTTGTGAATGAAAATCTGTAAAAATTGTACTGTTGGAATCGCCCTTCAAAGCCGATCCAGCAACATATACTCTTTTTCGATTTCTGCAAATTTTCATTTTTCGTAGAACTCTACATGAATTGCGAGTTTATGCTTTTTCACTGCTGCAGAAACGATTTTGACTTGAAACAGATACAGGAGGGATCGCGACCTTCAGGGCTATTCAAAACAGTTTTCAGATTCTCAAAATTCGACAGTTTGTAAAATCGAGAGTTTTAAACTCGCAGTCATGAACTCGAGTTGTAAACTCGCGGTCTTCAACTCGAGTTTTAAACCTCGATGTCTGACCTCGAGTTTAAACCTCGAGTTCTGAGCTCGAGTTTAAACCTCGAGTTCTGACCTCGAGTTTAAACCTCGAGTTCTGACCTCGAGTTTTAAACCTCGAGTTTTTAAAATTTGAGAGTTTTGGAATTGCGAGTTTTGGAATTTATTTCGAGTTTTAGGAACTCGATGTTGTGGATTTCGACATTCTGAAAAATTTCAGAATTTTCGGAATTTCTCGATGTTTTGAATCTTTCAAAGTTTGCAGTTTCTTGGAACTCATAATTCGAATCTTGACATCCTCTGCAGTTCATCGAAGCTTTACATTTTAGATATCTGAATGATTCCCTGTTTATCAAAGTTTTAGAAGTTTTCGATGTTCTGATGTTTTTCAAACAGCAAGTTTTTGATATTATGAGGTTTTTCGAAACTCCAAAGTTTTCGAGGTTCCAAACATTTTGAAATTCTAAAGATTTCGTTATTCTGAGGTCTGTTTTGCAGGTGGATTTCGTCATTACTCTTCAAGGCAAACTCGAAATTAAAATCTCCAGATTTGGATTTCGAGTTTTTGTTTTAGAATTTTGTTTAAATTCACCTGCTCTCGAAATTCAACATCGAGAACCTCAACCTCGAAGATTTTCCTCAAAAACTCAAAATTAGAGATTTTCAGCGACACCGCACTGTTTTGGTCTCAACTTTTGACTCGGTGATCCAATTTGAGCAAACCTTTTTTTGTTGGAAAGCTAACGAAACGATCTACATTAATTCTTGTACCATGCCCTAGAACCCAATCTCACGCGCCCTCACTCGCAGCCTTTGAGGGTCAAAACGTTAGTTTTCTGACAAACATTGTAAATCACCGATGTCCAGGTCAAAACTTAGACAAATCTGTTCAAATTCTTTCAAAGTCAACCTTGAGGTCAAATATTTTCTAAACCTAACTGTAAAGGTCCGAAAATCGTAGATAATTCAATCGACCTCGCGTCAACGGTCATCTTACAACAATCAACAATCAACTGCTGAAGCCTCCCCTGACTCATCAACATTATGTAATCTTCAATATGCTGAAATTCTACATGGTGAGCTCAGGGAACCGTCATGTGTGGTACTTGTTCAGATTGCTCCACACACATGGCGGGTATGACAAGCTGTGAGCAATCAAACCTTGCACATTCTGAGGGGGAGTTTCAGTTTTCTCCTCCTGGCGCCTTACACCGACAAAGCAAGGAATCTCTCAAAGGATGTAACATTTTAGGGGGAGTATTCAATGTTATCCTTCCCGGTGCCTAACAATGACAAAGCATACCGAGTGCTCCAGTTGAGGGGGAGTACAGAGACAAAATGAAGAAAGTAATGAGAGGACATGTCCCTATGGCTTAGTAAACCCAACTAAGCCTACCCAAGGGACAAAGCCGAGCGCAAGTGAGTGAGTGAGCACGTGAGTGAGTGAAAATTATGAGCATTAGGAAGCAGAAGGCTCAAGTGAGAAGAAAAACAATAGTCAATGATGAGTCTGCTACCTCAACTGCCTATTATCCATTGAACATTTATTCCTAGCCACTCAAATACTCTGGACAATTCCCAAATAGGTTCAGGACTGATTTAATCAGATCCCGGGTAGAAGTCACTGCATCTTGTCTAACAGTGCACGTTGAACCCTACCCAAGACCACTCACTTGTCTCCCAACAGACATGTGTTTAATCATATTTCACGGGGAACCACATCTCTCATTACTGTCTCCTTCCGAGGCAAGTAATACTGACTACAGTGGCCTCAGCCCCATGCCACTGAACTTTCATTGATCACGTCGTGTCTAGTTACTCACTCCCAAATGTTTTGAAATTTTCTAGGACACAGACGCACTTTTAGAGTCAGTTGCAGGTCTTCATGACCCGCGAGAACTTCCATAGGGCTCATCTATTACAGATGAAGACCAATAATTGGAAGGAAGTCCTGCTGTTGCAACATAAGAATCACCAACATTTTCAGGCCATTGCTAAAGAGTTTATCTCTATAGTGATGATAACGGGCGTCTTCGCGACCCCGGGGGGCTACGTTATCTTCTTTAGATTCTGCTTGTTTTTCCTGTTTTTATTTCCGCAGAATAAAAGAATAAAGGCATGACGCCCCGAATCATCGGATCGTCATGAGGGGGAGAGTGGTCCACATGCTGTTAACTGTCAAAAAATTATTCTGGGACACTTCTCTCCTCCTACACTCTATCTACTATCTCCGCTACGTTCACAATTCAACTCAAATGGTCAGCTACGTTCACAATTCAACCATCATTATGTTCCGCTGTGCCACCGACAAGTTCTCCTCAAAAGCATTCATTCCAAATAGTCAAAAAGACTACATTGTGGAGGAGACAGAGGTCAAATACTCGTGTCCTGAAGATGAATTCCATGGGCGTCTCCTATTCTCCAAAGAATATTCATTCTAGAGGCGTCACCGGACTTCATCCAAGCTGATCAAGAGCAACTTCTGGAAGGCAAGGACTACATGCAAGATACTGAAGGTCCCTCAACCCCCGACATCAAAGATCAAATTGTCAAGAAGACATCAAAGGGGATATTGCAAGGATTTCTTCAGATAGCCTTCCTCAGAAATCAAGTTCAAAGACAAAGGAAGCTCAATAACAACAAAGACAAAGATATCTGCGCTGCAATGCTGATTCAACACGATTGATCACCAAGAGGGAGATTGTTGGGAATATTTTATGGTGTTCAATCTAGTTAGTTATCTTTTTATTTGTGTAGTTATCAATTAAACGTGTAATACGGGCCACAAATGTGTATCAGCCCGGGGGCTTCCTTGTAACCCGTAAGTTAGCCAACTTCTCCTATAAAAGGAGACTAACTTACGGGAACCCTAACGATTGATAGAGGCTGAGAGCGCAAGAGGCGAGATAGAGAGAGATTAGGGTTGCCGCTGCTCTCCTTCTCCAGGGAGAGCAGCGGACAGTTCACGGTATACCAGATTTGGTTTTAATCTTGTCGATTTCTTCATATCTGCTTCTTATTCTTCTTGTTATGATTGTTGTTTGATAAATTATGGGACTATCATCTATGCAGACGATCATGATACCCCTGGAGTATATGTGAATATACTCCATCACCCATTTTTATTCTTATTTGAAATAATTTCTGATTTAATCGACAATTTTTACTCTATACAGTACTAAATAGGGTTTTATGTGAAGGAACTAGGAACCGGGAAGTGTAAAGGTTAAAGAACTAACCAATGCTTAAGAGTTAAGACAGCTTCACGGGATTGAAGTATTGAACTTACACGCGATTCAGCAGTGAAGCAAGGCAGCGGCGAAGGCCGTAAACGAAGAAACAAAGCCGAAGAAGAGGACTTTTCATTCGAGGAGAGCACCGTAGTTTCTGAAGGCACAAGCCGAAGGTACTCTTCGGTTCATCCCATCCAACTATTACTTCATATCTTAATCGTAATAATATATCACCGTTGTAAACCCCTGCTCAAGTATGTAATCCATCGATCTTCTCTCTTGGATGAAATAGCTATTGTTCACTTTAAGTTACGTTCAAAAAACCCGGCCGATATTTGATTATTTGACGATTAGGGTTCTATAATTGACACCAAATTACTTCGTGGTGGTGCATAGATGGATCGGTACCAAAGGGTGGAGAAGCCAAGGTTAGAGACACCCATTGCTGAGAACGAGATTCGAATTACTAGCCAGGGAAGGTTGCGGAATTATATCACTTATGCCAGGAGTCTACTTCAGGTATTACTCTTATTTTACAGTCATTTATTTGGAATACTCGATTTCAGCTTTCTTCCTATTTTAGTTTTTGCTTGTATATGCCCCCCATGCGTTGTTTTTAACTTTTTTGCATCACATGGCTACAAAAACTGTAACTCTTTTTTTGGGTAAGATGCTAAAAAAAGAAAATAAAGTGAGCATCCTTTTTATTTTAAATTTCTTAGAAAAACGTGTGAGTTCTCAGTTATAAGTTTTGCTATTGAGCATGCATTTAACTTGTAAGTCTACTTATACTGTAGTGAGAAGACTGCCAAAGTTTGTACCAACAAACACACTCTCTTTCACCCTGCTTACATATATAACTATTATACGTGTCTGCTCTCCATAATAAACTTTATACATGTTTAATGATTCATGTGGTAGGAAAAAGAAGCTGAACAAATTGTGTTCAAAGCAATGGGTAGAGCAATCAACAAAGCAGTAGCAATGGTGGAGCTCATTAAGGTTCTTGCTGCCTTATTTCTCCTACACTTATTTATATTCTTCTAATTCTGGTTTCTGATCGCGGTGTTTAATTTTTTGTGATACAGAGAAGGATTGTTGGTCTTCATCAGATTACTTCCATTACATCCACTGACATAACAGATACATGGGAACCCTTAGAGGAAGGCCTCCTTCGGTAAGATTATCTCAAAATCGATTTCTATCAGTGTTGAATAGCATTCAACTATTCAAGTACCTTCTTGGAATTGCTGATTTCTGTTTATTTTTGGTTCTGAATGCAGTTTGGAAACCACCAGGCACGTTTCAATGATTACAGTTACTCTCTCAAAGAAGGAGCTGGACACCAAAGATGTTGGGTTAGTTTTATGAGTTTCAAGTAATCTAGACAGTGACTTCACCTTTTGCCCCCCCCCCCCCCCCCCCCCCCCCTCTTATGTGTTTCTTTTCAATCACCTGTAGGTATCAGATGCCCATACCTGTGGAGCAGGTTAAGGTGTTTACAGAGATTGATTATGAAGGTGGTACTTTTATATTTTGTTTCTAAGGAGACCATTCTTAACACAGCTAGTTGGATTTATTCCTACTTTTTTTATTTTTCTTAAGAGAGATCTCCTTCTGGTCGCGGGAGAGGACGGCAAGGTGGTAGAGGAAGAGGAAGGCCTAGAGTTGTATCTGGTATGATTATATTTTAAATTAATAAACAGCAGAGAATGATCACAACTCACAATGGAGTTCTAATATTCAAAGACTTCTGTTTTTTCTGAAAAAGTAGTTTCAACGGTTAGAATCTGATATACTTTGTAGTTTGAAGAGTGTTGATCACTTGATCATGACCTGGAAGTGGTCTTAATTTGTGCATCTGTTTCATATTCTTAGTTGTTATTGATAAAAATACTTCATCAAAAGAATCGGTTATGATACTAAGAGATTATGTAGTGCTACCTCCATCCCGCTTAAAGGTTCATATTGTAAAATGACACGGTTATTTAGACAATAATTAAATAAGGTAATTGGAGTATATTTTCAAAAAAGTTGTGATGGATATATAATATAATGAGGCCAGTGATGATAACCATGATGTTATAGATGTATTATTTTTAAAGTTTGATGATTAAATTGTCATTTAATAGTGTTAAGTGTTTCCTAAACTAGAAATGAGAACCTTTATATGGGACGTCCAAAAAAAGAAAGTGGGAACCTGAATGGGACGAAGGGAGTGCTAATTTACACTTTCACATTCCTTCAACATTGTAATATACTAATATTACATGAATTGGTATTAAATAAGGGTTATTATGTATAAAACTATTAATTTGCAATATTCTAGGATGTTTACCGAGTTTCTTAATGCATGTATCCTTGATCAGCACAATATGAAATAGAGGAAGGTTAGGAAGAATATGTTTAAGGTTCAACACTTTGTTTTTACTGATTTTTTTTATTACTTCAAGGAAATGATTATGCGGAAGCCGAGTATGACGGTGTTGGATATGATAGAAATAATAACTACCTCAGGGGAAGGGGTCAGGGCAGAGGACGTAGTTTCCGTGGACGTGGAAGAGGATACGAGGGCCCACAGTATGATACACAGCAAGATGGTGGCTATGATTATGAAGAACCTACTCAGGGTAGAGATGGCGGTCGCAATTTCCATGGACGTGGCAGATTAGGCTACAATGATCAGCAGTATCATACACAACAAGACAATGGCTACAACTATGAAGCACCTAATAGGAATCGTGGGAGAGGTCGTAATTTCCAAGGTAGAGGTGGTTACAGTGGTCCACAAGTAGATGGTGGTGCTGATTATGAGGCACCATATAATAATCGTGGTGGTAGAGGGCGTAATTTTCGTGAACATGGGCGAGGAGGTTACAATGATTCACATCAAGATGGTCGGTATGATTATGAGGAACCTTCTCAAGGTCGTGGTTTTCATGGACAGCGGCGTAGAGGAGGTTATAATGGTCTGCATCAAGATGGTGGCTATGATTATGATGCACCTTCTCAAGGTCGAGGCGGAGGTCGTGGATGGGGTAGAGGAGGTTACAATGGTCAGCAGGGAAATGTGGGCTACAATTATGAGGCAGCTGGTCAACATCGAGGTAGAGGTACTTTCCGTGGACATGGTAGAGGGGGGTACAATGATCCACAATATGATGTGCACCAAGATGGGGGCTACAACTACGAGGCTCCTGCTCGGGGTCGAGGTACATCATTCCCTTATGCCCATCATTCTTGATAACTCTTTCCTACCTCTTATACCATTCCTCATGGTTTTGATGTATGGTACCTTTTTGTTGCTACATGTTTAACTTTTGAAGTTTTAAGAAGGTAACTGTACATGGTCGAACCGCATAAAAGTTATAAGTTCATCAGTTCATGCAATTTTTAGTTGACTTTAACTAAATATATATAGTTGTATGTGTATGTAATGTTTATTTCGGTTTGACTAGATTTATCATATCGAACTGGTTCGCAACATAAGAACTATGAAATGGTATTCTTTTGGGACAAATAAATTTCGCAACATGTCAACTTTTTTGGGGGGGCTTAGTACTTAATGTTCCATTGTTCAATACTACTCTCTCAGTCCCTCCATCCCATAAATTTCTTCCTGATTTGACTTGTATCAGAGTTTAAGAAAGTGGGTGTTAAATTGGAAATGTATGGGTGTGGTTGAGTAAAAAAAGGTAAGTGAATGTTAGCCACACAAAACGTTCAAAAAAGGGAAATGGAAAGAATAATTTGGGACATCCCAAAAAGTCAAGTGAGAAGAATTTTATGGGATGGATGGAGTATTTGCTATATGGATTGGTAGTTGGTATTAGAAAACATCTGAACTTTGATGATCTCTTTAATGACCGTCCATGATTTTGAATCTGTCATAGGCTAAAAAAGAGCACACACTATCAAAACTGCATTATTTTGATCACAAAAATTTGAGATATGCATCAACCCCCATATCAGATACCTACTTCTTAGTGTGGAATAGGTATGCAGGTAGAAGTGTAGAACCATTTCAGCCCTGGTCATCCCTTTTTAGCTTTCAAACTGTTATACTATCCTCCGTTCTTTTTTAGTTGCAACATTCCCTTTTTCACGCTTACCAATGCACAACTTTGACCATCATTATATTTAATCCCCTATTAGTAAAAAAAATTTAAAAATCAAATTATGAAACTTTGTAATGAGATGAATTCAACAATATTTAAAAAAAAACAATTCACATACATTAATAGATAAAATGTAGTCAAACTAGTGTACATGAATAGTGTGTAAATTTCAATGTTGCAACTAATATGATACGGAGGGAGTATTTAATACTCCCTCCGTCCCGAAAAGGTTGGCCAAATTTCCTTTTTTGGATGTCCCAAAAAGATCTGCCATTTCCATTTAAAGTAAGGAATATGTGGCTAAATTAATTCTCTCCTCTGCACAAATTTCAACCACACAGTTCCTACTTTATTAATCCACGTGAAAGTCAACTTTGGCCAACCTTTTCGGTACGGAGGGAGTATGATTTTTTATTTTTACGCTCTCAATTGTTGAAAGTCTATAGTGTGATTTCATCTGCTGTTCGGGACTTGTATGTCTTGGGATTTTGGAACGGATATGAAAAATCTGGAAGAAGTTGTTTGAGTGTTTGGTTATGAGATCATCAAGTTCACGTAATACTTTTGTAGTTGCATGAATAGAGTGCATATGAACATAAAACTGAAATAAGACTTTTTTACAAACTTACATAAATTCATCTCATCATCATCATCATTACCCCAGTGCCGCAAAGGCTCCCACCTACGGTGAGGTAAGGACATAAATTCATCTCTTATATCAGCATAATGGGATGGGTGGGTACATAAAAGTTTACATTTTAGTTTTTGTTTTTTTAATGAATGGATGGCATGTTGGTATAGGACGTGTTCATGGGAGGGGAGGACGTGGCAGTGGACGCTCGTGGTAGATGCAGTGGGGTCTCTCCAGAGATTTATTTTGTCGCAGCTTGGAAAGAATTGCAGTAACAATGTTATTTAAGGAAAATGTTTCATATTTTGTTTCATCGGATTGGTTTGAAATTAACTAGAGGATTTGAAGTGTAGACTAACCTTGGAAGGGACCACGTCTGCATTATTGCGGTGAGTTTTGTGTTCCGTTTTATATGAGCTTTCTCGTTCATTTGTTCTTTGCCTAAGCATTTTTTTCATGACATTTGACTAATTATTACAAAGCATGACTTTGATCACATTTCGTGTGCTTTGAAAAGGTTATTGTGTTGGCTTCATCATGTCATCATGTTTTGATGTGGTTGTCAAGTAACTTCAGAAATGTGCGAGCTTAATAATTTATTTTACTGCATGCTATATAAAGCAAAAAATAGGTTAGAAGCTATCATTTTAGAAGGGAAACGTTGCTGTAAAGTTTTTATTGTTGTTGATGATGATAATTTATTTTACTGCAAGCTTTATAAAGCAAAAAATAGTTTGCAAGTTATTGTTCTGGAAGGGAAAAGTTGCTGTAAAGTTGTTGTAGTTCGTGATGATAAACCTAGAACTTGCATGTATGCATGCAAAAATGATTGAACTGAAATCAATTTTAACACAAACAGATGTATAGTTATAGAAAATCAACAATAACTTCTGGTGATTTCATATTAGATTAAAAAACAATACAAGCAACAAAATAATTAATGTTTCCATGGGCAAACGTCTCAGTGTGGGTGCTGACTGCGTCGTAATCTTTTTGGTGAATTGGTATTTTCTTATATTACTTAAAAGAATTTGGGGAGGTACTTAGGCAGGATCTGGTTTACAATGATCCTGTAGCCTTGTTCTGTGGGATGAAAGCTGTCCCAAAAGAAATACTTTTTGTGGTCTTCACATGTCGGTGAGAATTTATTACACAAAATTGCAACTTCTAAGTTCCCAGTCCCACAACACCCTCTATCAGTTACCTCTATACCTGCAGATCAATTTAATTATGTTACGCAATAATGTGTGCGTTGTGCTCTTATACAACAATATATACACATGTGTGTGAGGGGAGCGGTTCTGGTGAGAAAGGACTCCCAGGAGAGAAATGAGAATGAATCTGGACGGTTGGATTGTATTATGTGAAATTGAATTATGTATTTGGTGAAACTGAAATCTGCATTAGGTGAAAAAATTGAAATGTGCAAAATAAAAGGTAAAACTCAAATGTGCATTACGTTAAATTGAAATGTCAAGAATAAAAGGCACAAAAATGACACCGCATAGTAGTTTTTATTTTGCACATTTTAGTTCACCTAATGCACAATTTAGCTTCACATAATGTCACTATGCCATACCTTTTGTGCCGCAAATTTCATTTCATCTAATGCACATTTCAGTTTTACCTAATGCACATTCAATTTCACAGAATACAATCTGACGGTTCAGATTCATTCTCTTTTCTTTTCTAAAATCATTTTCTCATTTCAACCTAATTCTAAGTATGTATATATGTTATTTATACCATATTGCCCAGGGTTTTGGATGAGGTTGAGAATTGGTTGGTAAGCGTCTAGGAAAACCAGCTTGGCTTGAGGTAACATCTCTTTTAGGGAATTAATCTCGGCTAGAAACTTAGAATTGACCAATATTGCTGCTTCGTTGTATTTCTCTGCACAACCTAAACCGTAGCCTCCCAACGTCCTCTCTGCTGGCACACACCCTACCGGTACCTGGCTGAATATCCCAATCCTTCTAGCTCCCATTCCATACAATTCCTTGATGAAATATTCAACACAAAACATTCTCCAATGTTACTGAATAATCAGATGTAATGTAACTTCTATATATATGTGTATATAGACCTACTTGAATGAAACTGGAAGCCTTCTGGACCAATAGATCTGTGTAGGAATTGACGTCGTATTGTAAACGACGGAGTCCGAGGGTGAAATACGTGTTGGCAATGTCATTACTTCCAGCTACCACCAAGAACAAGCTGTTGTCAGTTATGAACTTTGTTTCTTCTTCGCCAAATGCGGTCTTCAGTTTTCCCAGATACTCTTTGAAGTAGTTCAATTGCGTTGACATTGGGACAACTGACTGGATTGAGTTTTAAAATAATATTAATATATTGTTATAATAACAGCGAAGTATTGAAATAGCTAAAATTATTATCCAATCAGCATGGTAGGTAATTTATTACTAGACTTTGTGATGTTTGAGGGTCATATCCTGTGCCTCCAGATGCAAAGCTTACTCCTGTTTTCAGATCTTCGGGTTGCAAACTGGGGTCTAAGTAAGCAGGGACAAGCTCTTTGATTCCCAATTCCTCCGCTGCAGACAGTGGAATGGTAACAATAAGTAAATGTTGGAAGTCAGGGTCAATGTTGTTTTGATATCAAATTTTCTTTCTAATGGCCAAAAACTAGTTTTACTTTGTTAGATATATGCATGAGACCTTTCAATATCATGTTGAAAGCATTTGCGTGTGTGTTTCAAAAAAATGGAAATAATTATTATGTTACTCAAACAGTCAAACCCACTGCCATGATGGCTGCATGCTAAAAGCCAAACGAGCTGGTGCAAGGCTATGCCTTACTAGGTTACATGGAGGATATGATAGCTGGTGACATTAATGTTAGTACATTCAAGAGTGTCGTAGTGCGAATGTTACAAATTTACAATGGTAAATGTATGGTTTTAAGATGTTTTTAATCGGATTGATTTCAGTCATAGACAAACAGATCGTATTAGACTAGACTTTGACATTTATAAAATACACATAGAACATGCTTTGACTAGGTTGGTTCAGACTAGACGAGATCATATTTAAATAGATCAGACTCGACTAGGAAATTTTAGTCCAATTAAAAAGATCTTTCATCCCCCACACCAAGAATAGTAGAAGATAATAAAAAAATTCTGTAAAATGTGAAAGGTAGTACCAAACATGATCAGTTTTAGAAGTATCAAGTATGTATGGATTAGGAGTTCAGTACCTATTAGATCAATAGGATTCTTGCCATTGCTAAAGCGTCCGTTTGGCTTTCCACCCATAAAGTCCTCCCCATATGGAGGAAAGTTGCACTTTGCAACAGTAGTGATGTAGTTGTTCATTCCTTGATCAATGATGGAATCCCCAAAGCCTATGACTGCCGGCATAACCCGCCCCTCCGGTAGCTTTACCGTTGCTCTGCCACATATGGGGAACCATATAAGAGCAGCAAAAATCATTACCTGTTGTAAACTCAAAGAAATGCACCATAAATGATGATGAGGCAACATAGTGTATGAACGTTATTTGACAGAATGTTGTATTCTTAATTGAAGTGGATATGGGCTTAGCTAGCTAGGGATGGGAGTTTTGGTATATATATATATATATATAATTAAAGCAGATATGTAAGACAAGCTGGGTCAATGTCATTAGTTGAAACACTGTGCTGTAATGCTAATTAATAATTATAAGGGACCTTGATGTAAGGTTTGTTTTCTGATAGCATTAATTGGAACATAAATGAATAAGTTAAAACTAAGTGATACTTGATTGAAACTTCTACAAAAAATCTTCACAAATAGTCCTATTTATTCAATATAGGGTGGAAAATGTTCAGGTCCTTCCCGGCAACGTGGGAACCTGAATAGATCCTATTCTGCAATGGTTCAAAACTTCAAATTATATTTAATATTCGATTCATGCGTAATTCGTAATGTTGAAAAGTTTGTCCGTTCATTTGAAATTAGTGCTGCGCCAGTATGTGATATTCGGTTGAATGACTTTTGTTGACTTCTGTCAATTTTGAAATCTTTTGTCAATCACGTAGAAATTCAAAAACATTTATTTCTTTGAAGTTTCATAAACATTTTAATGTCACGTTACAAATCTAAATTTATAGCATGTTCGGTAACACAGGAATTTGGCCGAATCAGATGAATATGATGAAATTGATGAAGCAGCTGAATTGATTGAATTAAACAAATATATTTTAAATATTTTTTTTAGGAAAATATAGAAAAAATTATATGGAAAATTGCTAAAATGGTCATATATTTAAAATTATATATTAAATATAGCCAATTCAGGCAGAAAATTATTCAAATCATACATGTTTGGTGGAAAATTTGGTTGATAATATTGATAAATCAAAAAACGTGGTAACCAAATGGCCTCAATGACACCCTCACAACGCCCTCAATGACACCCTCATACTATGGTATTCTTAATATTTCATTACTTATGAGTTATGATTTCTGCTGGCGTCTTTATAATAAAGATCTGTAGCCTAGTAATTTGGTTCTTAGTAGGGTTGGACCGAACCGGGCCAAACCGGCCCGTGAACCGGACCGGCCCGGGATCGGATGGTCGGTTCTCGGCTTTTAGCCCGTGTTGGCGGGCCGGGCTCGGGCCCCATTTTTGTTGAATCGGCCCGGTTCATTTTTTTTCCATTTTTTTTCTTTTCCTTGGGTAGGGTTGGATGTTTTGGGGAGGTTTGAGGGGCGGAGGGTGAGGGGGCGGGGCGGGGATTAATTAGAAAGCAAAAAAAAAATTAAATAGACCCGGGCCCGGCCCGGCCCGACCTGGTTTGGCCCGGACCCGGTATTAACCCGAGCCGGTTACGGGCCCAACAATCTGCAAAAAAAAAGCCCGCTCGGGTCCGGAATCGGACCGGCCCGGGTCCATCCCTAGTTCTTAGTTTAGAGTTGTAGAACATGGTAAACTATGAAAGTAGTGGTAAAACTGAAATACGCAAATGTGAAAATCATAGTATTATGTTGTGTAAAGATAAGGGTAAGCCTTTTTAGATAAGTCGACAGTTCAATGGTGAGTTTAGCCTAGAGCACTCTACAATAGTAAGAACAAGAACAAGATCTTTAAATTAGTGAAGGTTGCAATATTATAGCCTTAGGTAGGCATTGACCCGGGTCGGTCCCGATTCTGGACCAAGATTGCCGAGTCCTTGCAAAAAATATCTGAAGACAGGGTCAGAATTGTCCCAAGTTCTGGACCCAGTTCCACTATTTTTTTTTGGTTTTTCCCAATTCTAAGGGTTTAGGCGTGTAAAAAATATTAAAGAGGATGAGCCTGATTCCAACCATTCCAAGGTTGACACTCGGGAAAAAAATTGGCCCGTCGGGATTGAAATCGGGATTGGTACTGCTTGGTTCGGTCCCAAAAAGCAGAAACCAGTATCGGGTACCTTATGCACCCGATCGAGTATCCGGTCTTCGCTTGAAACGGCTTCCCGACCCTTCGGGACCACCCAACTAGGTCCATGCATACTCATAGGTAACGAGCCAACGTTGGATGAATGATAAAGTTTTGTTGTATATGTGTTTTGTTTAGGTCATGGGAAAAAGAACGAGGAAGCTCATGATGTTATTTGGACCAAATGAGCTTTCTCATTCTTTTTCCCATGTCCTGCTTGTTCCACGTCGGATTCGCAGTGGTGGTTTTTTGATCCCACATCTTTCATTTGATGTATTCTTGACAACGATTTAATTAATGGAAGTCAATTCTTTTTCTTGCAAAAAATTACGTATGTGTGTTTGAGTTTAGTATTTTTTAATACACGACTAATATTATAATTTCTTTTTGAGAAAATAATGAACGCGTGAAGCAATATAAATCAGTAATTACACTATGTCATTGTCTTTCTTATAATGATGATTCTTTTGAACTAACTAAGAGTCCGTTTGGTGAGCCCTTTTTTCGACTTATCAGGCTTATCAGCCAGCTTTTTCACCAAACACGTAATTTTTGATTTCGCGCGCTAAATTTTGTAATAAGCAGAAAAAGTAAGGTTGGAGTTACTTTTCTGACTGTATCGGCTGAAGTTACCGTAGAGGACAATTTTAGCTATTTTTACATATAATTTTTTCTTTGTTTTATTAATAAAGTATATTTTAAATTTAATTTTTTCATGAATCAGCAAAATCAGCCAATACAGCCACTTCAGCCAGAATTTCATAAATTTCAGCAGAATCAGCCGATTCAGCCGATTTCAGTGTTACCAAACAGGCTCTAAAATTGAAATTAGAAAAAGTGTCAGAAGATTATTTTCTGAACAAATAATAATGCATGACGATTATTTTGCGATACCAAAAATTAAAATTAAGAAAACAGTTCAGAAGTATGGTATTCATTATTTTCTGAATTAAAACATCAAGTAGCGTTGATATATATATGTGTGTATACTCCCTCCGTATCTAATTAAATGACATGTTTGCTTTTCACGGAGTTTAAGATAATTACTGTATATTTTATAAAAAGTAAGATATTTTTGGTACTGTAGCGGTACTGTAACTATTTTTTGAGTGAGATTCTTTCCAAAAAAGGAAAGGAGACAACTAAGTTGATACACCAAAAAAGGAAAGTGTTACAAGTAAATAGACACGGAGGGAGTATAAGAGATCAAATACAAACCATGCTTAAAATAATAAACTACAAACTAAATAATATGCAATACGTTGAACTTCAATATGCAATACAAATAATGTAAAAATGCACACTTTGAACTTCACTATGCAATAAAAATAATATGCAACACTTTGAACTTCAATATGCAATACAAATAATATGCAACACTTTTAACTTCAATATCAATCAAATAATGTAAAGATGCATAGTTTGTCACAGTTTATTTGTAGGTTAGAATGAGAGGAATAATTTATATGTGATCCCACCCTTATATATACTCCCTCCAGTTCTAAATAAACTGCACACTTTCCTTTTCGGGTAGGTCCAAAATAAACTTCACACTTCTTCTACCTTCCTTATTTGACAAATTATCTACATCAAAACAGTGCAAAACAATGCCAAACAGTGTCAAACAGTGTCAAACAGTGTCACAACAGTGTACTCTACAGTAAAGTCAAATTTATTTTCTTAATTTGTGTGAAGTCAAAGTGTGAAATTTATTTAGAAACGGATGAAGTATTATAAAAATTATAGCATTAAAATATCAACAACAATATTAAAAAATAGTTGATAATACAGTTGATGAACCAACGCCTAACTGGAGACATCAAGTGTGACGTGAGAATGGAGATTTAGTACACGTGATTCGCGTTGGGCGTGTTTTGCAAACAGATACTCATACACGACGCAGCAATTTATGTTTTTCAATTTATATCTTGGGATCGGCGCAACATCAGGATGGTGGACCCGATCCCAAAACGACGCAACATCCATTATTTTTTATTTTTTTATTGTTAAAAATTGTAATAACTTTTTTTATTTGATATCTGATTTTTATAAATTTTATTTCATTTTTTTTTATTTTTAATGATCTATCAAATGAGACCAATGCTGCTTATGTAATTTTAACAAATTATTTTGAAGTTACATTTGATAATATATCATGAAGTTACATCTTCTTCTGCGCGAGTTACATCTTATTGTACGCGAGTTACATCTTAATATACGCGAGTTACATCTTAATGTATGTGAGTTACACCATGAAATAAATCCCTGCTACATTTTTCATTTTTATCATTTGAAAAATAGTGTATGAATATGAAATACAATATATTTATTTTATGTGGTTTAATAGAATTTTGTATTAAATTGGCAAAGAAAAAAATTAATTCAGTTATAATTGAATTAGTTCAAGATAAAGATATGTAAAAAATCACAAATAATTAGATATAACTCACACATAATTACATGTAACTCGCGCATAAAAGTATGTAACTCGTGTATAACAAGATGTAACTCACACATAATAAGATGTAACTCACACATAATTACATGTAACTCGCGCATAAAAGTATGTAACTCGTGTATAGCAAGATGTAACTCACACATAACAAGATGTAACTCACACATAATAACTTGTAACTGGAGTATAAGATGATGTAACTTCGTATATTTTCAAATGTAACTCCAAGCTAGAAGCAAAATAAACAAACTCAATATCTTAAAAACCTCTAAAAACATATAAAAGTGAAAAAAATTATATTATAGAAAAAATGTATGCATATAAAAATATATTACAAAAAAATGTATGAATGTAAAAAATTAAAATTACATAGGCAATATTGGTCTCATTTGAAAGATCATGAAAAATTAAAAATTTTGATATAAATTTTATAAAAATCAGATCAAAAATAAAAAAATTATTAACAATTTTAAGAAAAGAAGAAATAAAAAATAACAAAGGGTGCATGACGCTAACCATGCACCGGTTCCACGGTATAAGGACTGTACACGAGCACAAATGGTTGTCATTGCGGAGGTATTTTAAGGCCTTTCTATGATTCTAAATGAGTGTTTGACTTTCCAATCAACTAAAAACCACTTTTAATGTGAAAACTCAAAACCGTTCACTTTTTCCCTAATGTGTG